AAAATCCATAATTAGTGGCATTTTTGCAAATGAGTATCCCTAAGTGGCATTCTTAGAAATGTACATCCCAAAAGTGGCATTTTTACAATTGCCCCTTAATTCTATATGCCATGTTGAAAATCTCTTTTATATTAATTTTTTAACATGAACTCACAAATATATATATGTTACGAATTTATATCCAATTAAAATATAACTTTTTTATAATTTAAACGTTTTATAACACAATATTTTAACGACATTTATCGATGTCAATTACTTTATAAAATTTATATTTATGTCCATTTGAATACCATATGTAATTGTTCATACAATTATTTTTGTTTTATATCGTTTAATTGTATCTATATTACTCTAATTGAAGATGCGCTTTTGTTATAAACATATAACTTTACAAATCAAAAATTAATATCCTCTTTTTTGAAAATCATCATTTTTATTTTTTATTTTTTATTTAAGAAGATTTACATACTAATGCGATATTTTTTGGGTTTGGTGAGCTCAAATAAGTTTGAGAGAATCCATGATCTCAAACGTATTCGATTTAGATTAAAAAAGCTTACATTCAATGTAAGTGTCATGCGTGTTAAATTTTGTAAGATAAAACAGATTGATCTATAGGAGAGATATCATTTGATATTAGTTGTTTCCAATTTCACCCGTATATTATAAAAGATTATAACTTTTTATTTTCAAATATTATAATCCTGCATTTGATGCGGGTTAAAATCTTAGTGGAACTCATTACTATGAGAAAAAAATTACAAAATCGCCAAGCGAAGAATCAAAAACATATTGATGATGAGACATGACCAATATGCTACAAAATCGTCAAGCGAAGAATCAAACCCAACACCTCCTCGCAGATCATATGTATTTATAACCAATCAAGTTGTGGACGTCATTGTAAGGAAAAATTACACTTATAGACACTTTATTGAAAATACATAACACATATAGACATTTTCCAAAACCAAAGACACTTTCTCAAGTTTTCTATAGGTGTTTGTCTGTTTTATCATTACTATCATTTACTTTTTTCCTTTTTTTTTTCTCTA